CAAATTTTTTTCTTACATTATACTCTCTTCATATGTATGTATCTCTGTAACCTTTTCCTTTCTTTTGGTCGTGTTTCCTAAAAATTTTTTTACTGCAGGTCAAAGATCTGACTGAGCAATTTCCAGCTGCCACACCACTTGCTCTGGTGTTAAAGCAGTTTTTGGCTGATCGTACTCTGGATCAATCATACTCTGGTGGATTAAGCTCTTATTGCCTGGTGAGGCGTATTCTTTTACTTAAGTAATATGTTCTTTTCTTTTGGATTATAGGTGGCCTGTCTCTGTATATTTAATGCGGATCCTGGTAATTGATACTTGTCTAATTTAATTAGAACCACTGCGACGTTCTTGGACAGAAATATTCAGCCACACTTTTAATCTATCCACTAAAACATGTTCCAATATTTGTAAATCTTAGTCTATAATTATTGCAGGTCTTACTGATTACTCGTTTTCTTCAGCATGAGCATCATCTGGGGCGCTCTATCAACCAAGTACGTAGTTTTATTGTTTGCCTATTCTGTGTCACAGGAGCTATCTTGTTTAGGTTTCCTTGTTATATTAATGCAATTACTAATTGAGAAAAGTATTTTGCAGAACCTTGGGGGGCTTCTAATGGATTTTCTTTACTTTTTTGGGTCAGTTAAAATGGTTACTGCTAATTATAGTGACTGATATCTCTCGCAAGTGGGTCATATGACGATAATTGGTAATTTGGGCTTGTTTGTTTTGCAGTAATGTGTTTGATCCTCGCCAGATGCGTGTTTCAGTGCAAGGAAGTGGTATCTATAGGAATCGGGAGAGGGGTTATAGGTAAATATCGCAGCTCTGTCAAACTGCAAGTGAAATACTAACTTTTTTACCTTATGTTATCCTCACGTTTTTGGTTATCTGCTTATAGTATTGATCCGATACACATTGATGATCCTCTTTTCCCAACAAATAATGTGGGTAGAAATTGCTTCCGTATACATCAATGTATTAAGGTGAGTTGGATTTTATATGCATCTATCAATGCTTTTATATTAAAAATACGACGATGAAGAAGTTTTATTGATAGCAAAGATGATATATTCGTGCAGGCATTTTCTGAAGCTTACTCTGTTCTGGAAAATGAGCTTACGTGCATTACTAGTTCCAGTGATTCGTGTGGGAAGCAGCAGCTACACAATTTGCTTCCAAAAATCATCCCAAGTATCATTTCATCTTAGGAACCAACTGAGATGTCTTTTATGTACGTGTTGCTTCACAGAACTATTTTGTCGCATATTTAGTATGAAGAATTGGATAGGTAGATTAATGCAACTCTTCCCTTTCATCATTCTGTACAAAATGAAGGTGGAGTTGTGATAACGCTGGAAGGTACAAGCTGCTGATAATGATGATGTTTGCAACTGCCGTGGTTATTGCGAAGATAGGCATCCGCAACTAATACCAGAGTTGCATATAATCCCTCCCATGGTATTTGCAGATACTCCTCTGAAACGCTTGTTTTTGTGTTGAACATTAGTTTGGTTACTTAACTTGCTTGGTTGTTGGTGTGTTGGAAGCACAAGTAGGAAAAATGGTAATATAGATGACGGTGCTTGAAGAGGAAGAGCAAGTGTGGAGACTGGGGGACATTAGAGAGGTGTGTTGTTGTTAGTCAGTAACAATGCCTGGCTGATTTGAAAGAGAATTGCACAAGTAAACTAATGTTGAAGAAGATGCATTGTTTACTCGGCATGGGAAGGCAGAAATATTGAGGTATGTACAATTATCTAATTTTTGCGAGTATCAGAAAACTTCACTATTAAAAATTGTTAGATGTATTACTTGATCAGGAATGATGATTTTGGCGTGTTAGTGGGAAGGAGAAGTAGAGGAATGAGAAAGGCAATAGAATGATAGCTCTTCTTCATTCACCATTTTCCTCACGTCTTTTTTTGGCTTATAATTAAAATCGCACATAATATATATTCTTTGGAATAGAAGAATGAATCATCCAATCTAGCAGTAAAACAAGCCAAAAAGAATACTTAAAATTTGACTTAAGCTGATCGAGAAGCTCGGAGTACATATACAAGCTTTAACCCACTTGATGAAAGTTGAAGGAACTTGGTACGCTTGAAGGGCAGAGAGAATAAAATCCCAACGAACTGAATCAAACGCCTTTGAAATATCAATTTTAAGCGTGATCCGAGGCGAGGAAGAATCTAAATGATACTCTTGCAGCACCTCAGAGGCTAGAAGGACATTCTCCAATAATAGCCTGTCTTTGATGAAAACTAACAATGACTAGAGGCAGGATTCGCTTAAGTCTATCTGATATAAACTGTTGTCTGCATGTAGATTGGGTGGACAAAATATACATATGGGATAATCTAATAAGTGTGGGCTGAAAGTAACAGAATATATATATATATATATATATATATATATATATATATATATATATATATTAAAATTGGGCCTCTCTTTGTCTCGGGGTCAGCCCTTTTTGCGTCGGCGATACTCTTGTTGGTGTGAAAGGAATCTCGCATTTAACCAACATTTGACTTTTACTTTCTTTTTAAACCTATCTCACACACACACATGCATTTGACATATGTATCACATCATCTCAAATTCAACTTTTTTTTTTTTTTTAATTTTAATATAATGGTACCAAAAATAAAATAAAAAATTACTACACATTATTATTTTTTATTTTTTTTTTACTTTAAATTTCCATTAAAAAGAACCGGATACAAGGCTAAATAGCCCGAAAAAAGAGCACGCTGGCCCAACATACATGGCAAAAGCCGAAAACAGGCACGCAGGCCCAACATACACGGCAAAAGCCCAGACAGACACACAGGCCCCACAAAGAGAACAGCGCAAAAACGCTACCAGGCCAAGAGAAAAAGAAGGGGGAGCACCAGAAACCAACCCAAGGAAGCCCAAACAAAACCACCAAAGGAAGAGAGACCTTACCCAAAGTAGCGGAACCAAGATGAAAGGAGAGAAGATCCAGGGGCGCAGTGACTCTGATTTCGGGAAAGAGGATCCAGCCGAGCCTTCAACGTTAACACAATGTCCTTGATGATCAACGCCGGGGGTCTGTTAGAAAAAGAGTGAATCCGGCTATTGCGCTCCTTCTAAAGGAGATAAACAGACGCTTGGAAAATAAGTTTGATAATCAAAGAAAGATTTGAGTCCCTCGAGGCAGTCTTAAGCCAGAGAAGACAAGCCATGAAAGGGGCGGGAGGATTCAGATTTGCTCTAGAAGTGAAATAAATCCACACTTCACGGCCGAACACACAATCAAAGAACAAGTGTTCTCGAGACTCATGGCCAGAATTGCAGAGAACACACATAGGAGAGATAGAAAGACCCCAGCTCGTTAGCCTATCTCTCGTATGCAATCTATTCCACGCCACAACCCAAGAAATGAAGGCATGCTTAGGAATGCGATCCTTAAACCACACAGATTTATGCCAAGATACCGAATTTCCAGGAGGATTTAAAGTCAGCCACGTTTTTGGTGAAGAGAAAAGGTTTGAAGGAGGATGATGATCAGTCTTCCACAAGTAAACATCATCATCCACACAATCCCACATATTTCCAGCCTCGGGCAAGGCCCTTCTTAAGAGAGAAATGATAGGGTTTCTGCTGCGACTAGTAGTAATCCTCCAACCATTACTTCCAAGCGCATCTCTCACTACAGATTTTAAAGGCAGCCCGATCACCTGAGGCCCAGCAGGGCCAGTGATATCAATGAGCGGCCCCAAACCAGTCCAGTTGTCTTGCCAAAAGCTCGCACTCACCCCAGAACCAATCTCACACACCACAAATGGTCTAGCAACAGGGCGAAGCTTGCATAATTTCTTCCAAATCCAGCTGCCCGAGTAGTAGGGGTTCAAAGTCCAAAAATTCCTATTGCCAATAAGATTTATCCTCACCCAAGATACCCAAAGAGAACCTGCTTTAGTAAAAAGCAGCCAAATAAGTTTAAGAGCAAAAACTTTATTCCAAGATGTTAACCTCTTCAGCCAAGCCCTCCACACTCCTTAGCCTTGCAAACTGAATCCCAAGCAATCTTTGCACCCCTAGCAGAATTTGGGGCTCCTTTCCACAAGAAGGCATTGCACATTATGTATCTGCAAATTTTTAACATTCACCTTTATGCATTATATACTACAAATTTCAACATTTATATCTGCTCATTGTGCTCAACACACTACAAATTTTGAAATTTAAATAGTTTACATTTATGTGTGAATAATAGATTCAAAAAAATACCATATATTATTATTCTTAACTTTTGTACGAACAGGCAACCACCGTTTTGGGAGTGTATATATATCATACTTAACTGTCAAACCAACTGGTGTCGACCTTTGGAGTTATATGATTTGATTTTTTTCTTCCTCTTATGTCATTTTCTCCGTGCTTCGTATCGTATGTTTCAATTATATGTTAGACACTGCAAAAATATGTATATACAGTATGTGGATATGTCCGAAAATACTTGTCGCATGCACAAATTCGTTTATGTAATTAAATACACACAACATTTCAAATTAAATCAAAGTTGAGTGATATTGTAAGTTCGTTTATAGGGTGTGTGGTGACGATTGATTACTACTTACTTAGTTACTTGAGTTTGGCATTTTTCTCATGAATTTTCGTTATTAATAACAATTTGATTTGTTCACTCACAAACGTGTGGTAATGGTCGGGGCCAAGTTGACCTGTTAACACCCAATCATTTACAGCACCTTTGAAAATTAAATATTCGCTTTCTTTTTTTGTTTCTTGTAGCATTAATTATAAATTCAATAACATTATCAACAAATTATTGTGGAATTTTGCAGACAAAGCATATGCTGTTGTGTCTACTCCATTTCCACTTTTCACTTATCCTCAGTGACATAATTAAATTGGTGAAAGCGAAGGATTATCTACTGTTCGTATATTGATCTAGAAAAAATGGAGTTCATTTGTGGATGTGGTGGAGTGATGTTACTAATTCACCCAAACATAACCATTATTTATTGTTCTCTATCCAATTACAACCATATCTTTTTTTTTTAAGTACGTAATTCATGAGTAGCCTATACATATAAGTAAATAATTATGATGGAATATATATGTATGTATGGTGACTAACACACATATATATATATAGACGTGTTTAAATAATCATTTTGGATTCGAAGGAGGAAGTTGTTGTTGCATTTGCTGATATAATGCAGCCATCCTGCTATATGCTTCCATCGTCGTTGGCTGCAATTCCAAATTAATATATAAATATAAATGGTAATGAAGCATTGATCAGACACAAGTTGTATATCTATATATAGAAAAAAGAGGTGAACCTGAGTCGAGCATGCAAGAAAGGCAGACATAGGATCGGGAATGAGAGGAGACTGAAATCGAGCGTCGTTTGACGAAGCATCCCATGATGGACAAGTCATGGGCGCAAATGGGTTTGGCATCATGTTGGCATGGATATTAGGAGCGGTTGCAGCAGCAGCAGCTCGGTTCATAGAATTAAGGTCGAGGAGACCGAGCCCGGGCATCCCCATGCCAATCCCTAAACCCATGGGATTGGACATGAGAGACATTTGTAATTGTTGTTGTTGTTGCTGCATGGCCATAGGAAGCATCATGGAAGGCATGTTCATTCTGCTCATCATGCTCACTTGTGCTTGAAGTTGCTTCAAGTACTCTATCACTTCATCCAACATAGATGCTTTATCCGTCTATAGTTCCAAAATTAACGAATTATCAAACCTCATTTGTATCTACTATAATTAACCAAACCAATGCTGCGGATATAGTCAAGCATGTGTGTAATGTAGATTGTGTTGATTTTTGAGTCGACAGCCACAAGGCATATAAGGTGTATGAATGGACCAACCGGACCAGGTAATAAAGAGATGTAAAATAAGTTTTTAGGAGACAAGCAAATAAGAGATTGATGGACATAAGTGTGTGGAGTAGAATCATCGTATGAGGTCCATTTCTTTAGATGCATTCACTTCACTTTGGTCCACCACCGTTTTCTCATATTATCCCCTCGCTCTATTTTCATGTATACCTAGCTAGCTACTATTACTAATCAACTACTACTGTAGCATCTTTTAATTTGTACCATACGCACGCAGACTCATATGACTTTTATTTAGCCACGTACGTAATAATGTTTATGTAAAACGACATGCGTACCTTGCTGGAATTGGGAACCAGTTTCTGCAAAGTCTTCATCCTTTGATTGATCTTATCTCTCCTCTTCTGCAATAAAATCAATCAGGGGTAAAATCGAGGGGGTCATGCATGTAAAACCAATCATCAGTTTCAAAAAAATGGTTTGAGTGAATTATTACACGTTCGGATTGGTTATGAATAGCAGCAGCTCTGCTTCTCTTGGTTGAAACTGATGATTTGCCTCCGGCTTTCTTCTCTTCTTCGTCCTCCATCTATCGTTTTTTCTTAATTAATATTATTTACTTATAATTAAAACTAGCTAGAACAAGTTATATGATGACTTGCCTGTGGGCGGCTGTGGCAGACGGAGTCATGATCGTCGATGGTGTTATCATGCGAGCCCATGGATGTTGAGGTGAAACCTACGTCGTAAGTGTCCATGGTCAGCCTCTGACTCCCGCCCCCGCTCCACTCCGGCGCCACTCTGGCTCGTTTTCCACCGGCCATGGTACGACCATCGCTACATGACCCCACCCGGGTGGAGCCAACGCCACCGGGCTTGCTCTGCTGCTCCTGTACTAGGTTGGAGCAAGGGACAAGCGCGTCCATGGCCATGGCGGCCCTAGAAGAGCGATGGTGGAACCACGGGACGAGCTCATCCGTGGGCTTATGGTTAGGGAGGCGAGTAGCTTGGTCCACTATCGACTCCAACGTTCCACCCGCGCCTGTGGAGTACTTGGTCGACGAAGCCGTCACTCGCGGTGGACCTAAGCCGTGCAAGCCCAGTTGCCCGTTCTCCCACGTCAGCTCGGCTACCTCGTAGTCTAATCTGCAGGGAAACAAGAAAAGCTGTCTCTTATGATATTGTGGCCACTTATAATATCGAGATGATAAATTAAGGTACATACATGGGGATGTCTGCTGCTGTGATGGAGCGGACGGTGGTGGTGGCTGCTGCGGCTGCCGTAGTATCATCGATGTGACAGTTTGGAACACATTGGCTCATCCTAAATCTGTGTATCGCACTAGTTTAAAAGGTTTAGTGTTATTGAGTATTGACATCTTCTTCTCTTTCCTATATATATATAAAGAACTTTTATGTGAACTTTTGTAGTAATCACGTAATGGACAAGTGGGGACATGATACTTGAATAGTTAACCATATATATTTAATTATTCAGGTCCCTTCTTTAATGGCCTGCTTAAGACTTGTTGAATGTTTTGTTGACAACTTAAATGTGAGAATCAATTCTGTATACGACTCACATATATAGTTTGTTGTCATAGTTAGTAGGATTCGCTAAAATATAATACTAGTGTGTCACACTATGTTACATATGTTCTTTTGCTAGAAAAAAAAATCCAAAGAGCGAGTGAATATTTTTAAGCCAAAGAAAACGACATTTGAATTTTGTAAGTATGAAATTACTTTTTGGATGCATGAAGTAAGATCCCGTTGAAGAATCAATTATGTATATAACTTACTGTATTGATGCATTTCTATGATTTACTACCATTGAAGACCAAAACTAATGCAACAATTCCATGTATCATGTATGAGTGTTGGCATCGGTTCCTGAATAGTTAACGTGCCGATATTTTATTTGTTTAGAAAATGTCCGGTTCATAGAGATTTAGAGGCTCCTCATGAGAAAGCCTTCGAAAGTGATTCCCGGTCCGAAAGCTAAGCCCAGACCCCACTCTTCTCCCTCTGTGCCTTTCTTCTCAAGCTCATCTCTTACTTTGTCCATTATGTAGAAGATGGTGTTGCTGCTTACGTTCCCATAATCCATCAACGCCCTTCTGCTGCATTCCAGCTTTTCCGGCTTCAGCTTCAGCTTTGTCTCCAACCCGCTCAGGATGGCTGGTCCACCCGGATGAACTGCCCAGAAAAGGTCATTCAACTCCAACGAACCAGAGCCAGCCTTTGCCACCAGCTTCTTGCAGAACTCCTCCACGTTGTCTTCGATCTTCTGAGGGAGGTCTCTTCCTAGCTTGAAGCTTATTCCCTCTTCTGACAGCCTCCCGTCGATCACCCCCTGTGTTTGGGGAAGGAACTGCTGCAGAGCACAGTGAAGCTCCATGAAGGGAGATTCCGACTCTCTAGGGTCAGCTCCGATGATCAGGGCAGCTGCTCCGTCTCCAAAGAGTGCAGCCCCAACTAAGTCGTAAGGGCGAGCTTTGTTGGGCGGGCGGAACCCCAGAACCGTAGTCTCGGAGGTGGTGAGCAGCACCCGGCTCCCTGGGTTGTTCTCAGCAATGTCTTTGGCCACGCGCAGCCCGCTCAAACCTCCATAGCATCCCAGAAAATACAGCATCACTCTCTGAACCTCGTTTCTAAGGCCCAGCTGTGTCGAGAGGTAGAGGTCACCTCCGGGCAAACGAAACTCACTGGAGGAAACATAGACAAGATGAGTGATGTCTTCCACTGTCCTTCCCCATTCCTTGATGCAAACCAAGCTCGCTTCATATGCCATCTGCACAACCGCCTCGTTTGCAATCTCAAGCCTCTGTTTGATGGTTGGGGAACCCTCGGTTGCTAGTTCGGGGTATTTTTGCAGCGTCTCCCGAGACATGACTGTGTAGCGTGTCTTGACAGTTGTGCTTTTACCTAACATCACCAAGACACACAAACAAGCTTATCTTTCACAAGTGCTCAAAGAAAAAAAAAGTTGTCAAAGAAAGTAGAGGGAAGTTACACAAGTGTTGCAGCTTGTCTTTGATAGAAAGGTCATCGCATTTGATTTCACGGAGATACTCCTCCACGAGATTCTCCTGGGAAACAACATTGCTCGGGAAGGCCTTACCGAGAGCAAGCAGTGTTGCCTTCCCCTGATATGCAACACGCTTGGTGCTTTTGCCAAATTCTTTTTGTTTCTCTACCCTTTCGGACGCCAACATCTTTTTCAGGTCACAGTGAAGGAAGATACAAAGGATTAGTGGTTGGCCTTTTAACTCATGGATTGTGAAGACAACAGAAAAAAGAAAAAAAGGCATGGAAAATGTGGGTGGTGTGTTTGTAACAAACACAGACAAAAACCCTAAATAAACTCAAGGATCACACTTTGAATGATCCTTATATTCCTCTTCCTCCTCCCTATATTCCTGCATCATCTATTTGAGGCACAATGGTAAAGGGTGTTGAGAGAAGGAAATGGTGTATTATACAAGAAGCATCACAAATTACAAATCATTCAGTCCAGTTATAAGGAGCACGATCAACAATTAAGTAGTCTCCTCTGATGTCCTTGGCCACTCTGATCTCAGCGTCCATATACACATTCTCAAACCTGTGGAACCAAAACCCAAACTCTCTCTTTATCTATAGAAGAAGAAGTAGCTCCGAAGAGGTAACAGAGAGAAGTCACTCACCAGCCCTTCCCAAATGGTGGCAGTGGGATCTCCCAGTTCTTCGCTCTCAACACCGCACTATTGAATCTGAATATCAAAACGCTATCAACTACTAAGCTAAGATGATACACATTTCAAATTGTTTAAAAAAAAATAAAGATAAGAAGAACCTGAAATTGACTCTCTGCGGGGAAGCGATCTCGATATCAGAGCGTACGAAGAAAACTCCGTCCGGCGGGAAAGTGATGACGTTATTGAGGATCCGTTTATTCACATCGATCACCTGCAAAACGTCTCCGGCGGTCGTCCCAAACAAGCCCGCCTTTTCTATGATGAATAGCTGTTCCTTCTCCGTCGTCCACAGGAGCCGCCAAGTGGAAGATAGAGATTCTCCCGTGGTGATGGAGCTGCGTCCGATAACCGCCATGGATTCGATGGCATCCACGATTGCATCTCGCTTCGTGGCGTCTTTCTGGGTTCTCACACCTCGATCCTCCTCGGAGATCAGCTCAAGCAGCTTCCGCTTGGATCGCTGTGCTGGATTCGCGAAGATCGAGCAGCTTGTTCGAAAACCGGCACGACGAATGCGGCGGAGTGGAGGAGGACATGCCGACGAGAGCGCGAGCGCCATGTTTGCAAATTGCAATCTCCATGGTTGAGGTTGCAAGAAGAAGAGATGCATTCATTATTTGGGTTTATTTTTTTTATATAAAAAAGCCCATTTGGTTTTTGTTCGCTTTATCTCATGAGCCCACCAAGCCCAAGTCAAGAGCGTGCACGTGCGGTGCTTTGTTGTCACGTGTCTACGATAAAACCCCAGAAGCGGTGAGCAATAAAAAAGCCCATTTGGTTTTTGTTCGCTTTATCTCATGAGCCCACCAAGCCCAAGTCAAGAGCGTGCACGTGCGGTGCTTTGTTGTCACGTGTCTACGATAAAACCCCAGAAGCGGCGAGCGGCTTTGCCTTGCTCATCAACCTCGCTCGCTCGTCGTCGTCGTCGTCTCCACTTCGATTCTTTTCAATCAGAGATGATGATGATGAACCTTCTAAGGAGATCAGCGATGGCCATCGGCCACCAATCAAAGTCGAAACTGGCTTCGTTTTCTTCCGCTTCACAACCTTGTTCTGGAATCCCAAAATCGGTAATGATTTCGTTATTCCATCTCTTTTACATAATTCACTCCTTGTCCCAGTCTGCCGGCATTTCTATACAATAATGGCTAAAAGCTATTGGTTCTTCTACATAGACATGGATTATTTAGGATCTTGTGTGAACAATCTACATAGCTCGACTTCAATATCTGCTCTTTGGTCTGAGGTTGTTTTTTCAATGTCTCGGGTGAATGCTTCTCTACTCCTGTTTGAATTGACCTTGATCTGGGGAAATATTACACTGTTACTTTTGTTAAATATCAGTCCAAGTTCTTTTAACAACATTCCTTGTTCATTTCTTTGCAATATCCCTGCAGCCTGTTTGGTCGAGATTGTTTCTATTTCTCTTTCAAAGGTATTCTTCCCTTTTACTTGTTTAATATTTTGTTCTCTCCCTTCCGATGCAGTTGATAAGCGTTTTACCAAGAGGAGGAGCATCAAGGCAGGCCATTACTGATTCTGGTCTTATGACTCTGGTGAAGACAACATTTTCTTTGCTCTTTACACCCTTTTGTTATTAGATGTTAGTTTCATAACTCTCATCGCTTTTCTTTTGCAGGACTCTACTGGAGCTAATGGTCAGCAATCATTATGTGTAATCAAACTTCAAATCCTAGTCTTGCGTACTTGTTCTTCTGACAATTTTCTGTTTGCAGGACTATTGTTTCGCTTCCGAAACCCGCAAGCAAGTATATGTACGGAAGCTCGTCCAAAGAACATCAACTCATCTTACTTTACGAGATCTTTTGCATCAAGAACTTCTAAAGAACCTGGGAATCAGCAGAATAAGGTTTTCATAAGAATATGCTTTTGACCTCCAACTTTTTTGTGTTTGTTCGTACAAGTTTCTACTTAATGTCTACGTTCTGTGTTTGCCATCTATGACAACGCAAGGTGTCAAAAGTGACAGACAACTTATGTCATCTAATCCCGATATGAATAGCGTCTTAACATTAATGCCTGCTTTGCCAATTCTTCGAAAATTGTTATACAGGCTAAGAAAGAGGTGACAACGGTGGAGGATCCTTTTGATTCTCCTACGTACCACATCCCGGACAAGCCGGTGACCTTTACAGAAGGTGCTTCCTACAGTCTTGTTATTCTGGCTGGGCTTGGGGTCGCTGGAGCTGCTGGGTACGGTGTGTTTAAAGAGCTCATATTTCAACCAAAAGAGTGAGGCTTCAGAACTCTAGTTTCATTTATATGCTCGGACACTTGGATGTGGTTAGAGTAATCTAACGACACCATTCTGTATCCTAGGTACAAGGTCTTTGACAAAGCCTTGAAGAGAATTCAAGATGATGGTCAGGTAATAAGAAACTAACTCTATAGATTGATCATAACGGAGGGGTGGTGTATTAAATAAAAGCATCTGCTTATAAAATGCAACAATGCTGAGATTGTCTTGTTAACTAGGTGAGGGTTAGGATTGGATCCCCCATCAAAGGCTATGGACAAGAAACCAGAAACCGCGCTGCTCGTCAACGTATACCCAATAGAGTATTTACAGATGAAGACGGAGTGGAGCATGTTGAGGTAATTCATTGTAGAACCTCTTCTGCCCTTGGATTCACATTCTTGTTAATATAAATTGTCGAGGAAGCAGAATAGAGTATTGCAGGTTTAACATGATCAAAATTGAATATGCTTCAGGTAAACTTCTACATCCGTGGGCCTCAAGGAGCAGGGAAAGTGTACACGGAGATGTTTAAAGACAAGGCAGAGAAGGAATGGAAATACACGTACCTGATCGTAGAGATTTTAACACCTTCCCCAGCCAAATTGATGTTGGAGTCTTACTTGCCTGCCTAAACACTCGTATTATATGATTCAGCTGATCCGGAAAACATTCAGAAACGGCTTAGATTGTTTTAGTTGGGGTGTTGGAGAAAAGAGAGAGAATTGTGTTACACATGAGCTGTAGGAATGACTTGTTATCAAGCAACTGTTTGCTAATTGAAAAACAAGTCTAAACTGATAAGTGACAAATGCTCAATGTTTACTCTTGGGGATGTCTAGGATTTTGAACCAAATTCAAGTTTGTGTTGATAATATTCTTATCCGAAAATATGAAACTGAGACATGGTTCCTCAAGGAGAATGCATATTGTATCATGAAGCATCAAGTATACATTAGAGGCAATCATGGATCAAACGGTGTTTATGGTATCAGTAAGACAGCGGAGAATGCAACCCAGACCAGCTCTCTCTGTGAGTTTCTCATGAATCTTCAAGCACTGATCGCAGGTGGGTCGGTCGCCAGTAGAAAGGCCTCTGTACAAGTACCTGTTCCACACCATTCAAGGAAACAAAATTTAACTTTTACAGAGATTCTAGCAACAAAATCGAACTTTTACTCAAGACCTATATCTATCTCCAATGCAATCCAGACAAAAGAAAAGAGACTTTTCTAGCAGGACTTACTTCATGAGAATGTCGTAATATTCGGCATCAAGAGCATTGAGCATTCCGTCAATATCCTTTATGGCCATTATAGCTCTGTGCACAACTATCCAATTAGCCGACTGCAATTGAACCCACATGAATGATCCATCTTTTTTTTTTTGGCTCAGGAAACAAAATAAGAGGCGATTAAATTGAGGCAGAGGAAACAGAGACCTTGCAACGTTCATCGCGAGTTTTCGGAGGCGAACCTTCAAGAGCCGTTTTCAAAGCTTCGACATGTTTGTACCTGCACAAATTAAAACACTAATCTGGGATTAAACCAAGAAAAAAAAGACTTTAGGGTTAGCTCCAAGGTATACTTAATATTACTGTTTGAGTAAGCTTTCAATCTTCCGCGATTTGGTTTCGATCCTCGCGATTATTGCTTCTGCATTATCAGCCTCTACAAATTCTGCCATTCGATCTTTCTCTCTCGCTTTGATCAGTGATTTCCCCTCTTTCTTTAGAGGAAAAGAAAGAAAGATGATGTGAGAGAGCATAACTCAATCGCCGTTTTAACCATTTAAAAAGGGACTGAGTGACGTTTGTGTTGGCCTGAAACGGCACGTAGTTTTACCTTCCTAATCGAATGCTGCCACTGAATGTGGATGATGAAAACTTCAATTTTTTCTGGGTATAACAGTTCCAGTATTTTGTTAAGAAAGAAGAAATTTAAAGTGCATATAAAATAAAGATGAGATAACTGTGTCTTAAACAGAGCCTCGTTGCCAAAATAGCAAAGAAGCAAAGAAGCCTTTACACAGAGAGTGAGTTAAGAAACTCTCAACTCAAGTGACAGTGCATCTACAAACCGGTGATTTTCACGCTGACCAAGCAAGGTATTAAGGATTCCTCTATCAAGTTGCTTGAACAAGACTTTGGCACTTGAGGCTTGGTTGTGAAGCAGACATGCGTTACATTCTCTCCATATCGAATAAATCATCGATGGAGAGGTGCAAAGTGGAAGATTCAGCCGTCGCCCAAGAGTCTAGAGTGATATTGTGAGCATTCAAGCTTGCGCAAACAGAGTCTCTACACTTCAGAACTGAAGCCACACCGCAAGAACAGGAGCTCACTGGCTTCAGCCATGGATCCACATAGACAACAGTCCGGAGAGACATTCATACCCCAAGAAGCAAGACTAGACCTCTCCCCAGTTACTTACTAGGTAGCGAATAAGTGGAGGAATTGAGTCCACAGATCATGCAAGGAGCAGTTACTTCCATCGGCTAGGCTGTAACGCATAAATCTGATTGTATCAACGTGTAACCAGACTAGCTGCTTCCATGTTACCGAGCCTCTGCAGCAGTGGGATATAAAGACCAGAATGTTTTGCCAGAGGGACATCGGTCTGATTCTCTCTGGTTTGCAATTGGAATTAGAAAAGGATAGAAAGCACAAAAGCCATTCTTAAGGCTTAACTGAAATGCAGGAGCATACTTTTATTGAAATTTTATTTACAATAATAATATCTGCGTTCCTCATCCCATCCAATCCTTACACTTGACCTGAATATGTATGTCTCTCACGCAACGCAGTGCTATTGACTCAACAAATGGCTTGCATCTTTTAAGCAACACAACTACAATGTAGCATTACTACGAGTCGCTTTCAGTTTCAGGTGCCCTCTGATAAACCAGCGTGCTTGTATCTGCGTGGTACTGCCCATACAAAGCATAGACGGCAGTTGCAAGCACACTGACTACAACAAATCTTATCCATGCTTCATAATGCAACTGCAAAGTAGCGGAAAGATCAAAGTTAGATCATATGGTATGTGGAATTAGTATAAAGTTAGTTCTTAGCGTGTACCTGAGCAAATAAGAAGATGTTGAAGAAAATGCAAACGCATGGCACAATGGGTACACCAGGACAGCTAAACCCAGAACCTAGAGACTGAGCATAAGCCTGGAAGCGAAAAGCTGAGGGGGTTAACGTGAAGCATAGCTAGCAAGGCATTTGCCTGATTTGTGGAGAAAACCATGAGGGTATTTCAACTACATCGTCGTGTAATTTCTGATTGATGTTAACAAACTTCCCCTCTAAACCAAGAATGCAAAGTTACTTCAATAGTCACAGACTTTCAAAGTATCACTGTAGAGTTCTAAGTGCCAAAACATGCTACTGGTGGTCTCTATTTTATGCTGTATCAGTAAAAGACTTAGTATCAAGCATTTTAACACGAGTGAAACTCCGGCATATTGTTTTTTTTTTTGGCGCTATGAAATTAAGAAGAGTGTTGGCTTATGCTTAAGGCTACTTACTTGGCGATAATGAAGAACTGCTGAAGCAACAACTGCCACACCAACTGAGAGGAGAATAAATATAACTGAAGCACTGAAACGGTAAAATATGCCAGCACCAAAACCACTGCATGCAATTATAACAAGGCAAATGACGCCTTCCTGCCAACTTGATGTCCATCTATTGGCGGACTCTCTTTCTTTTTTATCATTCAGTCTCAATGCCACAACACAAGCCGCAACAACTGAATACCCAGTCTGAAACAACGGAACACCGAAAATAATGTGAAACTGGAAAGTATAAGTATCAATAAGAAAAGCAAAGGGATATTTAAAATTAAGACCTTGACGTACCAATGTACCAACGGACAGAATATGGGAAAGACTATGTACATTAAATATGCCAGCTAAAACCGCAGCTACAATGCCGCACCAGATTTGAGAATGAAGAGGTGTATGGAGAGTTGGGTGTATTCTGGAAAAGATTGAAGGCAATAGACCATCCCTTCCAAGTCCCAGATATAACCTGGACTGTTTATCCGATATATCATATGATTACTCAAGAGTGTTATCTTGGTTTGCATGAGAAACAAGTACATAATAAAGGATTATAACATATAGATATTTTCACCTGAACATAAAGACCAACAAGCAGAGTAGTTGTGAGTCCAGCAACAGCACCGATACTGATTAAGACTGAGACAAACTTCATACCCTTTGATGAAAAGGCTTCAGCTAAAGGAGCATCTTCGCTGAGGAGGCTAAAAGGGACCATCCCGGTGAGCACTAAGCATACGCCAATATACAGCGAGATACAAACCAGAAGGCTTCCCATAATTCCGATTGGCAGATCACGCTGAACAAGAATTGAACAGATATAAGACACTGTGTAGATAGTAGATACTTTCAACAAATATATGGGCAGACCTGAGGGTTCTTTGATTCTTCAGCAGAATTAGCAACCGCATCAAATCCAACATATGAAAAAAAGACTACAGTAGCTCCAGTCAGAACTGCTTTAAAACCATTAGGCGCAAAAGGAGACCAATTTGCTACATCAATTTCAAAAGCACCAGCACAAATCACAACGAGAACGATCACGACCTACAGAAGAACCAATATTGTCAAGTAGAGTTTCCGTGATCTTAGGTATACATAATAAGAAATTTAAAAGGTAAGAAGCGCACCTTGGTAGCAGTCATAACGGAGTTGAAAGCGGAAGATTCTCGGACACCTTGGCATAGTACAAGGGTCAAGAGAGCAAGTAAAATGGGAGCCAAGATATTTAAAGAGAGAAGCCCTCCTAACAGCTCTTCGCCGCTTCCCATCCAGAGAGGAATAGAGCCCTTGAGAGCTGGAAAAAGCTCAAGAAGAGCAACAGCATAGCTTGCCAAGCTACGGGAGATACTAGCGGCGCCAATATGATAATCAAGCATGAGTTGAACGAAAACAAGAAAAGCTGTGATCTCATTGAAAGCTGAATACGAGTACATGTAAGCTCCACCAACAACAGCAGGGAAACGAGATGCAAGTTCAGCATAACAGAGAGCGTTCAAGACACACGATGCTCCAGCTAGCAAGAAGCTGATCGTGACTCCTACGCATGTAGGCAACAATAATAATCAATCAATCAATCCCAAGTTGTAACCAATTGTGAACGAATCAAGGGGGATGATGATGATCCAACTGACCAGGTCCAGCATCGCGAGCGACGGTTCCGGTAACGACGAAGACACCGGCGCCGATGGAAGCGCCGACGCCCAACAGTATGAGGTCGAAAAGGCCGAGGCGACGAACAAGAGAGTCGGCGGAGGTGGAGCGAACGGCAGTCTGCGAGGACGGAGGGGGCAGAGATTTAGATCGGAGAGCTGAAGCACGGAAATGAGAGAACCATGTGGCGGAGGAGAGGCGTTGGTTGCTGAAACCTTCGTGGCCTCCCATGGAAACTGGAATTTGAGAGTTGAAGATTGGGTGGGTGATTTGATCTAGACGATGAATGCAATCACCCGGATCCTCTATCCAAAACCCAACCCGGGATAATCAGAATCCAGTTAAATAAGTATTGGGCCAATCACTGGGCCCAACCAAGACCAGTTTTCCCAATAATCCTCTAAACAGCGCTCTCAAACACAGGTATGAAATTACACGAACGCGATTAGAAGAATTAAGATAAATTAATTGGAACAAGACACACGACACAAATATTTTTTCTTAAAAGAAAACAAGTCAGGCTGAATGTTGTCAGCTTTTTTTTTTTTTTTGTCAATCAAACACCATATATTAATTCACGGACGAGAACTCTCTTCCAATTGGGTACCGTCGAACTTACATGGTAAAAGCAGAACCCGCGACCTCTTGCACATTTCGCAAGATGATCGGCGGAAGAGTTATCACTACGAGGGATATGTTGCAAGCTAAACGAAGAAAACGAATCCCTGTAAAACATAAAGTCTAACAACTCTGTAGAAAACGTGGGCCATGAAGGGATAAACTCTGTACCTAAAACATAAAGTCTAACAACTCAGCTTTCTTTGAAGGGATAAACTATTTTATTAGTAAGCTCCTTCGTTCGTGCTGCGTGTAAACGAGTAAGAAAATTTTATCGGATCAAGAAGATTCCTTTGGTCTGTATACTATTTTAATAAAGAGAGAACAACATTGAGTAAAACGTGACTCATTCGGCCCTTCCCAGCAACTGCATCATAATTTTATATAATGATATTAAAAAAACTAACATAAATGTATCTTCTCCCTGTTAAAAAAGATCCAAAACTAAAATCAGACCCACACTGAGAGTGTTGAGGAAGAAGAAAAATGGAAGGAGAGCTCAGACGGGATAACGGCTCGGCGGTTCTGGATTGGATTCGCCGGCAACTCCTGGAGGAGGACGATTTCGATCTTCTTACAGCTTCCACATCTCCAGCCCAAGATTCATCATCGCCGCCACGTAGAAGCGCAAATTACAAAGGAGTGAGGAGAAGACCATGGGGAAAATATGCCGCCGAGATCAGAGATCCAAACAAGAACGGAGCCAGAATCTGGTTGGGGACCTACGAGACCCCCGAGGAGGCTGCCGTGGCATATGACCAGGCAGCTTTCAAGATGCGAGGCTCCAAGGCTAAGCTTAACTTTCCTCACCTTATCGGCATTGACCAGGCTGAGCCCGTGAGGGTCACTAACGGTAACAAACGCCAACGATCAATGGAGCCCAATTCTCAGGCAGCCAAACGGCGAAACATAATTAACCTTACGGCTACAACACTTCCTTCCCTCGGATTAAAGCTGTCTGTATTACAAAAACACCTACAACGACTATGATTCATTTGTTTGATTTCTTCTTTTTTTCATTGTCCATATTTTGCTCATTTACTACTCTACTATTTCAACACCAAACAATCCTCCCCCGATTCTCCCTATTTATTGATTATGATTCATCGTCTACAGAACCATCTGTGAAACAAATGGTAGAATCATCTGATCGACTTATAGTTTAGGCCATTCTTTCTCTTTTCTATTCTTCCAGCAATCCAGTCAATGAAACGTACTAAGAGACATCAACTTCGCGTACTAAGAATCTTTCCTCAAACAAAAGTCAATAAAAATGGATTCACACATGAAATGACAAAAAGTCAGGTAGCAAATAGGACTTTATACATTGCTCCCGCAAAATTGTATATCATTATCACCACCTTCACTCCTCAGTAAGTAGAGAGCTCAACAATGTAAGTAAGACTACATAGACAAATATATCCCATTGTTCAAGTCATAACAGTCTCCATTTTCAATTGTCATCACCTAATTTCACCAAATATTCACTACTGGCTAGCTCTATTGGGAAAGACTGCAAATTTCTGCTTCAATATCTAGGATTATTTTGTTTCGTGAAAGCATGATTCTAGTTTCGTTAAGGGGTTGTTCATCTCAATCCAAAATATAATAACAACTATGTCCAACCGAGGACCAAGTACTGCAAACAAACAACTCACTGCAAATGTCATTTGTTGACTCTGCATAGCATGACACTTTTCTGTGTTAAATTTTGGCTAAAATCCAACATGTATCTATCAGACTATCACAGGTTGATTGACAACTTAATCAATGATGAAAAGCCACAAACTACTGGTACCTTCATAGAAAGAGATTTTTTCACTTCCTCCACCCTCTCTTTTACTTCCTTTCGACTTCTATTGTCCACCTCACTCATTTTATCTTATCTTGAATCGAAACCTAAACATGAATTATGTGCACACATATAAAATGACTCCAAAATCAAGGCGAAAAAACTCTTTCATGAGAAGGGACTCTCACATAAAATCTCAACAGTAGGGGAGTGAGATATGACATATTACTCAAAGATTCTAACGTCAAGTTTGAGATCTTCTAATAATACAGAACACAGAATCCTAGGGTCCAAAGAAGAAGAGATAAATATAGATCGAAGGCGGTACCAATTATCCAGTGTGTGCATCATATTCCCAAGTTGTCCTGGCCTTAGATCCCTACCAGCTTTAATCTGAACCTGCATGTTTGCAAGGGATATACTGGTTCAGGAACGAAAAGCACAGCGATCATATAATTGGAACATCAGAAAAAGCAAGTACCTGAAAACATCTTTTCAACTGATCAAGTTTTCCTCTAACTATACCCTGCAAAAATTCAAAAAATCATCACCGTACTTTTGTACATTTCTGCATGTCACACTTCAGTTGTCTGTGCAGCTACATATATTTTATCCAAATAAATACAGATATTACTCAAATAGAAGATGGAGATTAATCACATAAACTTTAATTTAAGCTAGAAAACTCACCGCGTACATGCATTCATTGATAAGAAAGTCTTCGAGCTCGCGTACGTTTGTGATATCTAACTCGACCATCAGTAAATCATATGGTAGTACCTGAACAAAAAACAAACACCGTCAGGACATGATATATACATAGTCAACATATCACGAGTCCAGAAAACTAGATTGAAATGAAGAACAAAAGTAAGAAAGAATAAATGGTAGTGGCCACCCACCAACAAACAAAGAAGATATACCTTGTTTATCTCCGCCAGAGTAAGGACAGTGAGCTGCTTAAGCTTAAGAACTTGATCAGGAAGCAATTGAGGAGTAGAGCCAGTGTTGCCTAGAGATTCAGAAGACGCAGTGAAAGTATATCATTCATACAAAACATAAAACGTTAGATAGTAAGGAATTTAAGTGTTGTATGAATATTATCAAATTCTCTTCACTTGATCATCTATATAGGTAAAAACGAAACGAAAAAAGAGTTAAGGTTCGGGTCATACATTTGTAATCACTCCAGGTGCCATCAGCAAATAACCGTAGCAAATCCAAGGTATATAGAACTAGTGGTCCCTTCAAGCTGCAGTGAATGCTAACAGCTTCAGAAACCGAACAATGTGAACAAGTAATTAATAACACAGAGCCACATGGGTTTGAAAATGAACAAGATGAAAAAAAGAAAAGCTAAATATAAACAAGGATATAAAAATCTCCACTTAGCGTATGAGATCCTATAAATGCAGCAACCCATGAAGCAAGTGGTAAATTAAAAGGAATAGAGCAAATAGCAAACATTGAGAAACAAGTCAAATCCTGATCCAGTAGAGACCCTAATGTATTGTAAGCTAGATTCCAGGATTAAACTAGTACAAAAGGAGCACGAACTCATTCTAAGTATAACAAAGATTCGAGAAAACCTCGGCAACATAAGGCAGAGCCAAAAAATCTCGGAGAAGGCGAAAAGCCAAGGATGGGAAGTAGCTTCTAGTAGGATAGATGTAAGAGCATCGCCTTTGGATACAGAAGCTCGTTTAACGAATACATCGATTGTTTCCGCCTGCTTAGAAGAAGAAGAGAGGAAGGGGCAACACACGTCTCTCTCTCTCTCGCGTTCGCTACTAATTCTAATAAAATTCAATTCTACAGCCTTTTTTTTTTTTTGGATCTTCTTTGGTATGTTTTCTATCTGTAACATGTGACATGTGATAAAGGATAGTCTTAAAATTTATTTGAATTTTTTCATCACTAATTCTTCTCGACAACCATACTGTTGGTTTACCAATCAAACCTATAGATATCATATAAATTCATCAAAGAGGAGAATTAGGTTAGAGAGAGGGATTAGTAAGTAACTAACTAATTATCGACATGCAGGAACCAAGTTCAGAGTATACCACTAAGCAAAAGAATGACAAGAGTGTAGTAGAAACAAGGGTTCAAGAAACCAAAGGAGATAGGATATTACGGTCTTCAAACTAATATCATAATATAATTTCAAGACGAGCAGCAACCGTTCTTCTGGGGAACTGGCTGTCCTCTGATCTGCACCGTTGGCGGTCTTGCATTGTTCGCAGCTGGTTGACTTGCCATTCTGCATCCAAACCCAATTCTTGTATTAGACTATACGAAAAGCTACTCAATTGTTAGGTGCATTTTATCTAGCATATGGCATGCCTGTCTTTGATGGACGCTGCCATGGCCATGAAAGCCTGTTCCACGTTGGTGGCATCTTTTGCACTCGTCTCCATAAAAGGAATTCCAATTTCATCCGCAAAAGCCTGCATAAGCAATCACTCCTTACAACATGATGACTACAAAACAAAACAAAACAAAACTTGACAAGAGAACAAGATAGTGTGTTTAAAAACATGTACTGTACCTTGGCTGTTTCATATGGAACTGCTCTGTTTGCAGCAAGATCACATTTGTTCCCAACCAAGAGTTTGTTCACGCTGTCACTCGCATAACGATCGATTTCACTCAACCACTGCTTCACGTTATTGAAGCTCTCTTCGTCTGTGACGTCATAAACAATCTACCACCACCCACACACTAAGTACATGGTCAAGGAGTAGAAAGTAAGAAGACAAAGAGAGAGCAACTCACTATGATTCCATGTGCCCCCCGGTAGTAACTGCTGGTAATAGTCCTGAACCGCTCTTGACCAGCAGTGTCCCACTGAAAAATAATAAAGGTGTCACCCAGGAAGACTAAATAAGAAACTAAACACCTCATTATATTATGCAACAAAAAGAGCTGGATATCAGGGTAATAGTGTAGATAATTATCAACTTGAATTACTCTTTTCACCAATTACAAACATAATTGCAAGAGTGAGAAGAGTTTTATACAATTTGGAGCTTAACCGTCTTCCCATCTTGTTCGACAGTCCGAATTTTCTGAAGAGAAAAGGGACAAGTTCAGAACCGAAACCTGATAATCTGTGATAATATTAAAAAAAACTTACAAAATCAACTCCAATGGTGCTTATGTAACTCTCAATGTACGAATCATCCTGCGCACATAGAGTAAAAGGAATCATCCAATCAGATATCAAGAACACATGCAACTGGAAGCAGTAGAAAAACTACAGATGTCAGACACAGAAGCATCCAATTAAGAGCCGTAGAAAATCCTCATTATTCAAAAGCCAATATCCAGATGCCAAAAAAATAAGATTAGCAGTTTTACAGGACAGTGAAAATCCCATAAACACTGCTAATGCTCTCACAACTCGGGATTTTTAAGCCTACACATATTAATAGAAATGCATCTGTGGAGGAGGAAGATGAGACAGGGGAGGTAGAGGTAGACATTGACTACCAGAACAGGGAAAGGGGAAGAAAATGTTGTTCTCATAGGATTCAGTGATAAAGAGGAAATGACTGGGATTTCTTGTGAATGGGGTTTAATCAAGTATTATAGTGGGTTAGAGGCAGATTATGCATGTGCCAAAGGCCGCAGAAGAATCTAAACCAAGATGCCAGGCTCTAAAACGAGGTATATCATAGGAGACGCTACAAGTGCCGGATAGATACTGAGGTAAGGAGGCATATTATCCAGCTTCAATACAACCAATATAAATCGGATGTGTATCACTAAACATGTAGAGAGTATCAGCTGCTAAAAGTTTGAAGTCAAAATCCAAGGTATTGGATAAGAAAGAGTATGAGTTCGAATACGTAGGCATATGGCCAAATTAATACCACCAAACTAAAATAGAGAAGTCCAAACTTACAGAAAATCTCAAGAGTAGACATGATTTCCCAACACCAGAATCTCCGATAAGCAGGAGCTTGAAAAGATAGTCACTGCAGAGTCACAAAGTCGCTAATAAGAGAAGAGAACGATGGCAGTAATTGTTGACTAATCTTCGAGACATGGAATCAATCAATCAAGAGCATATAAGTAGTAAAAAAACAAATTCGAATAGCCAAGTAATCGAAGCCCTACGATTCTAAGGTCAGCGAAGTGCATCAACTAGTACGATACGATAATCTTAGAATCTAAATATCACAGAACCAACAGCCCAAACATAAGTGAGAGAACTTACTACTCGGGATTCATAATTCCGGCGGTGGGAAGCGGTTGATCGGCGGATGAAGCAGAGATCTGTCCTGCCAACGCGAATCCGAATAAAATCCTTGCCGACAAGGCTAGCTGAATGAATGAATATCACTAGGCTTTGACATTGGGCCAGTCACCTGAGCCCAAAACTATTTCCTTTGGTTGATGCTACGATGGTTAAACCAGTAATTACTAAAATAAATATAACATTTAATTATAAAAGAATATTAAAATAGAAAAAACTATATTATTATTACATATTAATAAAATATTCTTCTAGAAGAAGAAGTGGTCCTGTTCGTTTACCAGTCGCTAGCGACTAGCGACCATCGACTGCGATCAGCGACTTCTTCGGTTGTTAGTTTGACAGTCGCTGCGAGCCTGCGACTGATCGCTGCGACTGGTCGCTGCATTGTTCCTGCATTGTTCGTTTGGTAGTCGCTGCGATCAATCGCTAAATTTTAAAATTATTATTATTATTTTTTGAATATTTTTAATTTTAAAATAATTATTTTATTAAAATTTTGATTTAAATAAAACTTATGTTATCTACTGTACATTTTAAAAAAACTAAATAATAATTTAATACTTAATTAAATAAATCATTTATTTTAAGTTAAATTATAAAATTTTAAATTTATTTTATTTTATTAAATTTAGTTTAATTTAAAACAATGTAACTAAAATTAATTTAATTTTAATTTTATTTAATTTATTTTAGGGAGACTCACAAAAATGCCCCTTTTTCAATACCCCTTTTCAAAAATGCCCTTTTTGGCTGTCCATTTTTAAAAATACCCCTTTTTATGTACAAAATGACTAAATTACCCTTCTTTTAATAAAAGATATCACAAATATATAAGGAAATATAACAAAATTAGGTCCACAAAATACAAAATATTTTTTGGCGGGAAAAGTGATGCCGCAATTTTCCCGCCAAAACACTTGTAAAAACTTGTAAAACCTTTAAAATACCTTGTAAAATTTTCCCGTAAAATTTTTTCCCGCCAAAAAAAAAATTTTGCGGGAAAAGTGATTCCGCAATTTTTTTGGCGGGAAAATTTTTTGCAGGAAAAATTTACAAGGTATTTTAAAGGTTTTTTACAGGGTATTTATAAGGTTTTACAATGTATTTTAAAAGGTTTTACAACGTATTTATAAGGTATTTATAAGATATTATAAGATTTTACAAGCTATTTTATAAGGTTTTACAAGTTATAAGGTTTTACAAGTTTTTTATAAGGTTTTACAAGTTATAAATACCTTATAAAACCTTATAAGTACCTTGTAAAACCTTTTAAAATACATTGTAAAACCTTACAAAACACTTGTAAATACTCTGTAAAACCTTTAAAATACCTTGTAAATTTTTCCCGCCAAAAAAATTTTCGCCAAAAAAATTGCGGAATCACTTTTCCCGCAAAAAAATTTTTTTGGCGGGAAAAATTTTTACGGGAAAATTTTACAAGGTATTTTAAAGGTTTTTACAAGTGTTTTGGCGGAAAAATTGCGGGATCACTTTTCCCGCCAAAAAATATTTTGTATTTTGTAGACCTAATTTTGTTTCAAATAAGGGTAAAATGGTCATTAAAAATTAAAAGAGGGCAAACTTAAAAATGGACTCTCAAAGGGGGCATTTTTGAAAAGGGGTATTGAAAAAGGGGCATTTTTAACAATTTCTCTTTATTTTATTGTATTTTTTTTATTTTATTTTAAATTAATTTTATTTAATATTTATTTATTTTATTTTATAGTCGCTATATTGTTCGTTTCGCAGTCTCGACCAGTCGCTGAAAATTTTCGCGACTGAAAATTTGAGTCGCTGATCGCTGCGACCAGTCACTGCGATTGGTCGCTAAATCCAGCGACTGCCAAACGAACAGTCGCTAGTCGCTGGTCGTTAGCGACTGCCAAACGAACATGACCAGAGTAAAAGAGCAAACGTATTATCAACAAATTCTTCTCTTCTCTTCTTGTTATTAATTTCTACAACAACAACATATATATAGTACATGGAAATTTGGAGCCTAAGCTAATATTTATAAATGGATAAACTATAATGAAGATAAACTCTAACTATTTAACTTGGGGGCCAAGTGACGTGAGGAAAAGATGTGATGGATAATCATCATAATAAATATCTATTTATAACACTCCCATTGAGTATCTATCACCATCAACGTATTGCGTACTGTCTCGTTAAAAATCTTATCATGGAAAAACCGTATAGGATAAAAACCATGATAAGAGAAAAAGAATGCAGTGACACAATCTCCCCTTGGAACAGACGAATCTTGTTCTTTTCATAACTTTCGTAGATGATACATCTTGAATATTCTCTTCGCTTCTTCTGATCTCGTCAATATATGAAAAAGATTTTTGAAGAGAGATAGACCTTCACTTTGATGTCTATCTTTTGCGTGTTATTTGCTGCCTCATTAAAAACCTTGTCATGGAAAAACCCTGTGGGATAAAAACCATGATAAGGGAAAAAGAGTGCAGCCACGCTCATCATCATATGTCTCCCCCTGCAAGCATCATCTTCAAAAAAAGCATTTCAATTTGTGAAGATGCTTTCTGAATGTTGTAGCAGGAAGCGCCTTTGAACTGAAACTGCTATATTGTTACTTGGCCGGATGTACTGAACATCAACTTCTTGCTTCTTCTCAGATTCTTGAGTGCAAGAGAAGAATCTTGGAGACATAGCTTCCTTTGAGTTGAGAAACATATGTAACAATATCTTGTTGTTGGCTCTTCACCGATCACTATATTGCTTGTTTCTTGTATGTGTTGAGGGCATCAATCTGAGCCATACAGATTCTCGACATGCTTCATGGTGCGCAATAATTTTGGCATGGCTTGAACAAGCGATGGCCAAAATTTCTTGTTGGAAACGCCACGAAGTTGTTGTTTTGCGATATATATTTAGACAGATCTGATATAGATTTTCCATCTGCAAAACCAACTAAACCAAACTCGGGGTTTCTAGAATAAAATAAACCCAAGTCAATCATACCTTGTAGATATGGAAGACACATTTGAACACATTCAAGGTCTAGTCGGAGGAGATCAATTAATCCTGCAAGTAGATCATTAGCAAATGCTAGGTACAATATATTCACTAGATATATAAATGCTCGTCAGCATTTATTTATGCTAGCTACAATTCACAAAATATATAAATACTCGTCAGCATTTATATATAGTGCTTCATGATTAAATTATATAGAGTCGACTTCCTTTAGAAGTGACTAATATAACATCTCTTTTTTTAGATGTTTAGTTGGATTATCTGGAGACACTTTTGTCTTTCCAAGATCTTTGATTCCAAATAATTCTTTAAGAGTTTTGATGATGTTCAAAATCATCATGTTTATAAATTTCCGGGAATATAAATATGATATATATCTTTCAGGGATCAGTCCTACATACATCCCATGAGGCGCAATTCAAGTCATTTATTCATCAACTCAATATCGAGTGATTTTGACAAAATTCGGCGTGACACACCGTTTTGTCTTGAGTATCATAATACTCTTTTGATGCTTGGACTATGTGTCCAAGATTTACTCTTTTCTTATACGAGATTAATATTTACTTGGCTGCCTCTTTGTTTATTGGCCAATATATATCTCTTTAGGCTCACAGAGCAGAGATTTATAATCTTCATTAATTATATTTGTTCACTAGATCATTTTTCTTGTCGACTTTGTATTGTTTTTGGTTCCATATTTTTCCGTAATGACATGGTTCATCGAGATCTCTTAATCATTATAAATGATTTTATTCAGGTACCTGATTTCGTCTTTAACCATGCCAATCAGTCTGTTTACTTCTCTTTAGAAGTCTCTTTGCTCCTGTTGAGGAGTCTCTATGCTCCTCTTTAGAAGTCTTTATGCTCTTCTTTTAAGAGTATAATCCTCTTTTTAGTAATAATATGCTCCTTTTTTTCGAGGATTTTCTTTACATTTGGAACCAAAGTTGTCTATCACGTTCTCTTTTAAGAGAACCTTGGTTGTTTAATAATTGGTTTATAGCAGTTCAGAGATGGGTGGATTTCCCTGGTTTAAATTTTCTGACAACAATAGACCTCTGGGTTCAGATAAGAGGAATCCCTTTTCATTATGTTAGTGTTGAAATTGTGTCAGAAATAGCTCAAGATCTTGGGGAGATAATTCACGTGGACTTTAATGAGATCACTTCCAATCAGATAGCCTATATTCGGGTTAGAGTTAGGTTTGGAATATCGGATAGGTTAAGGTTCTTTCAAAGAATCCGCTTTGATGCATGTGAGACAGTTGTGATCCGATTCCAATATGAACGTCTCAGAAGAATCTGTACCAACTGTCTGAGGTTTAATCATCAAAGAAGTCAGTGTCCTTATGGTCAGCCTCTTGATGGAGGAAGAAGTGATGATTTGGATCATACATTTGCGGGTAGGGAAAGAAGATTTCTTCATGATAATCTTCAGAGGTCTAACATGAACTCTCAATCTCAGAATTCAGACTACTCCTTTCCTGCACCTAGATCAACTCCTCCAAGAGTTGCTACTCCATCATTGAATCCTGAAGAAACTGTTGATGCGAGAATGTATCTGTCCTCTTCAAGGATTGCTAATCTCCAACACTTTGCTGTTCCAACTCCCCAGAATGCGGTAAGAAGACAACAATCATCTTCAAGTTCTAACTCTAATTCCGCTACAGTACATGAGATTACTCCAAGAGATCCAAGGAGGTTTGAAACAGGTGAATCTTCAAGGAGAACATAAAATGGTGAACCTTCACAGAAGTTGGACTCTTCAAAGCGTAAAAAGACACTTTCTAATAACCAAGAGGAAGAAAACATGACCCAAAAGCAAAAAGGATCTTAGCTTAATCAAAGAGGAATTCTGAAGCCTCCAAAAAAACGATAAAACATTCTACTGATTCTGTCAACACTTTTTAGCGATGCTGCGTAATGTTATTACGGCAGTCAAAGGGTTTGAATAAAAAGATATGATCTTAGAAGCACTTTTTGGAAAGACCATATCTTCTGAAGCTTATGAAGGAAGGATGTCTAAGCTTCAAGCTAATCTGGAAACTTGACCTGATGAAAATGTTCTATCTTTTGAACAATGGATCTTTTGTTCCTTTAAGAAAATCCATTGTAAGCTTACAAGGTTTAACTTGGCTTGTAAGTGGAAGTTTCCACAGTTGTAACTTGCAACATTGTTATAAAATGGTACCACTTTTTATGAAAAAAAAAAAAAATTAGATAAAAATAAATTTCTCGTTGGACTCTTATCATCTTCCTCGACGAGACAGCCCTGAAACGATCCGCGGGATCTCCATTGATGTGATGCATCAGAAGAAGTCGGAAGTTCAGATCGGGAAAGAAAGTAGCGGCATCTCTTTCGATTTCAATCCTTATCCCCCTCTACTTTTCTTTCCTCAGATCGTGTCTCACCACCACCACCGTGACCCCTCTTCCCCGACCGCCCCTTACAAGCGTCGTTTTGCTCCTTCTCCTCCTCCTTCTGTCTCTTCTCCGGAATCTTCTCTTCCGCTCTCTCTTCGCCGCTTCCCTCTCTTTCTCTTTCTCCTCCCTCTCTCTTATTTCCTCCTCTCCCATCCCACTCGCTCCTTCCTTGTCGATTTCCTCTCCGCCTTCGGTTTCTCCGTCGCTCTTCTTTTCTCCCTAAATCTCGCCCTCCCTCGCCTCCTCTCGATCCGCTTGTACCTAGCACGCTCCTTCCCCTCCCCGAATCCTTTGCCTGTCTTGTGGTCCATCGGCTCTCGCCTTAAATCTGACAAGAGGGGAAGCTCCGGTTGCTGGGTCCAGCTCTATAGCAACGGTGACGCTTACGAGGGAGAGTTCCACAAGGGCAAGTGCTCCGGCAGCGGCGTCTATTACTATTCCATGAGCGGCAGGTTTGAAGGTGACTGGCTTGACGGCAAGTACGATGGCTATGGTGTTGAGACCTGGGCCAGAGGCAGCCGTTACAGGGGCCAGTATAGGCAGGGTCTTCGCCACGGTTATGGGATTTACAGATTCTACACTGGAGACATGTTCTCCGGCGAGTGGTCCAGCGGACAGAGTCACGGCTGCGGAGTTCACACCTGCGAAGACGGAAGTCGCTATGTTGGGGAGTTCAAGTGGGGGTTCAAGCATGGTCTTGGTCATTACCACTTCAGGTAACGATTTACTAAGCCATTCGTGTAGCATGATTTAGGTCTGGCAACTGTGTCAGTCACTAGTCTGCAGTCTGCCGATAGATTGCGTGTCCTGGGTTTTTAAGAGCTGGTTTCCCCTTTAATTGTACAATGTCTCTCTGTTGTAAGTTACAGTCTATGCGTTCATGAAAATTAGACGTTTTTCTGATAATTCAATCTTGTTTCTTTAACTAGGAACGGGGACGTATATGCTGGAGAATACTTTGATGACAAGATGCATGGATTCGGGGTCTATGTGTTTGCAAATGGTCACCGGTACGAGGGAGCCTGGCATGAAGGTAGGCGGCAGGGGCTGGGAATGTATACATTCAAAAATGGAGAAGCACAGTCAGGCCATTGGGAGAATGGGATTCTCGACATTCCAAGCACTCAAAATACAACTTGTTCCGTATCTTCTGTTGCAGTCAACCATTCCAAAGTGCTAAATGCAGTCCAAGTTTGTCTCTGCAACTTATTAGAAATGAGCAAGTCTTTTGGTTTCTTGTATACACTAGTATTGATCCAAAAACATTTGTATTCACAGGAGGCACGGAGAGCTGCCGAGAAGGCTTATGATGTAGACAAGGTTGATGAGAGAGTTAATAGAGCAGTTACAGCCGCCAATAGATCAGCCAATGCTGCAAGAGTGGCGGCCGTCAAAGCTGTCCAGAAACAATCTAGAAACATGGACAACTTTCCGATTCCTGTCGTGTGAACCAACTCTAGTACATAGGCAAAGGGAGAAGCAGCAATCAAGTTGACAAGTGTCACCAACTCAGACACTCTATGTCTCATGGAGCAATGGAAAACCATGGTTGATGCCTTGATGGGTTGGTTCAAAAGAGATGTATATAGAGAGCTCTTGCCAATGCTGAATGTAAAGCTCACGGCTTAATTCATTTTCTGGCTTCTTTACAAGGCTCGGCAGAGACATAGGCTATAACGGCTGAATTCACCACGAACGAGTTGTTTTGTGTGCCCTAAATCCAGTAATAAAAAAAACAAATAACTCATAGAATGTGGCCTGGCACTGAGAACTTCACATTGTGTGTTTCCTTTTCAGACTTTCAATTCCAATGGGAATCGTTTGAATCTGCTTCCTCGGGTACCTTTTCCGTTTCAAGTTACTTGATTCACCTCACTCAGAAGTCAGATCTTAGCTCGTTTCTTCACTTTCTTGTTCATATGCATCTTTAGGAATCTCCGGCTGTGTTCAGAGGAGGACTCGTCGGTGTAGTCTATTCCGAGAAGAATTCACGGCGGCTAGGTTACATCAATTCACTCTTGTTTCTTGTTTTTCTCTCCCCTCTCTGTGATGTCTTCCTTACTTGACAAGATGTATTTAAACATTCTCAGACCAATTGTCTGCTCGAGTTCTTTCCGCCATCGACGATGAATGATACTCACTCGCATACTGACATTTCCATCAAACAAGTCACTCATGATGCAGCCTCAGAATCACATAATAGGGTACGTATTCTACACCATAATCATCATTCTTTTAGATCAATCAATAGTCTTTCCGGGGAATCAGATTGGATTTTCCCTAAGTTGATAGGCTCCAGATTTGACTTTATGCTTGGTAATAGTATATATTTGGCTGCTGCTAATGCAACACAATCCTTAGGGTGCCAAAAAATGATCTCATAAATTTGGGCGTCAATCTCATCATCTTGTAGGAAAAGATGCATGTTCAATTGACCCAGCAAACCTCTGAAAAAGTTGATGAGCAAGAGCCCAATGCTTTTGGAGCTAAGAAAGAGACAGGAAACATGTGGATGCCTGATGCTCAAGTGATTAGGGCAAAGGTTTATCTTTCACTTCCATCTGCAAAGGCCAATGCACATTTTGTGAGAGAGCTTCGACTCCGTATTAAAGAAGTTCAACGGGCACTTGCTGTTGCCTCCAAGGATTCGGATCTGCCAAAGAAGTAAGTGTGCCCCTTTTTTCTCACCTGTTGAAAACATGTTTCTTCCTCTTAACTGATTTCTCTGCCATTTTCTGAACCCAGTGCTACTGAATAGCTAAAAGCAATGGAGCGAACACTGGCCAAAGGCAAGCAGATCCAAGATGACTGTTCCACAGGGGTAAAGAAGCTACGTGCAATGCTCCACTCCGCAGAGGAGCAGCTTCGGGTCCATAAGAAGCAAACCATGTTCTTGACGGCTAAAACCATTCCAAAAGGACTTCACTGCCACCCTCTGTGCCTCAGTACAGAGACTACTATGCTTTAAATTCATCTGAACAACAATTCCCAAATCAGGAGAAACTAGAAGATACTCAGCTGTATCACTATGCCTTTCTCTTTGATAATTTTTTGGCTACGTCAGTTGTTGTTAACTCTACCATAACCAATGCCAAGGTAACAAGTAACTTTGTTCATTTGATTAAACATTTAAATGTGTTTCCTTCTGTTAAACTGACGGTCTTAAAGGGTTATTGGCAGCATCCCTCAAAGCATGTCTTCCACATCGTCACAGACAGACTCAATTGTGCGGCAATGAGGATGTGGTTCCTGGACAACCCACCAGGCAAATCCAGCATCCAGGTTCAGAATGTTGAAGAATTGGCATGGCTGAATTCAAGCTACAGTCTTAGTTCTCAAACAGCTTAGTTCTCGATCGATGATAGACTATTACTTCAGGGCCCACCATCCAACTTGAAGTTCCTGAATCCAAAATAATTATCGGTCCTTTTTTTACTTGCCTGAGATCTTTCCGAAGGTGCTCTTCTTGGATGATGATATAGTTGTGCAGAAGGACCTTTCTGGTCTTTGGTCAGTTGATCTGAAAGGTAATGTCAACGGTGCTGTAGAGACTTGTGGGGAAAGCTTTCATCGCTATCTGAACTTCTCAAATCCACTCATCTCCAAGAACTTTGACCTTTGAGCTTGTGGTTGGGCATATGGTATGAATGTCTTTGATCTGGACGAATGGAAGAGGCAAAACATCACAGAGGTTTATCATCGGTGGCACTGGCAGGATCTGGTACGCAGAAAATATATTTACTTATGTTTGAGCTGCTTGTCGGTGTAGTCTAGGTCACATCCGTCTTGATTTCAAGAATGTTTGCTAATCTTATACACAAACGACTTTGAATTGCAGAATCAAGACCGAGAATTATGGAAGCTAGGGACAATGCCACCTGGTCTCATCACCAGATTGTAAGACGAACATATCCGCTAGACCGGAAGTGGCACATACTGGGCCTTGGAAACAACCTGAGTGTGAACCAGAGGGATATTGAGAGGGCAGCGGTGATAGACTATAATGGTAACCTCAAACTATGGCTATTTTATCCGTTACCTTGGCCTCCCTATTATGCACATAAAACTCAAAATCTCTGAGTATGAGCCTCTTTTGGATCAGCTTATTGGTAAGTTTAGAGGGTGGGCGATGAAATCTCTGTCTTTTGCTGGTCGTACTCAATTGTTATCATCTGTTATTTCGGGAACTATGAACTTCTGGATCTCCACATTCATCTTACCGAAAACCTGTATAAAGAAGATTGAGTCTTTATGCTCAATATTCCTCTGGTCCGGCAAAATTGATGGCAGTAAGGGTGCCAAAGTCGCTTGGTCCACTGTCTGTTTACCAAAGAAAGAAGGTGGTTTGGGGCTAAGAAGGTTCTCTCAATGGAATACCACTCTCTGCCTGAGATTTATCTGGTTGTTATTCTCTGATTCTGGTTCTTTGTGGGCTCTTTGGCATAAGTATCATAACATCAAAAGCAACAGTCTATGGGAAATCAAAGAATCACCAAGAGATTCTTGGACGTGGAAAGCCATTCTACGGTTGAGACCGGTGGCTGCTCAGTTTTTGAAAGTTGTTGCTGGTAATGGGAGTAGTGCTAGTTTCTGGTTTGACACTTGGTCTCCTTTTGGGCCTCTCATCAATTATATTGGCGCTGATGGTCCTCGACAACTTCGTGTGCCCCTTAAAGCTAAGGTTAAGGATGCTTGTAACTCTACGGGATGGACTCTCCCTTCTCCAAGATCTGAAGCGGAGCTAAACCTGCATACGCATTTAACAACAATTGAGATTCCAAGCAGTTCTGCAACTAAAGATGAGTTTTGTTGGGTCGTTGACAAGGTTAAGTGTAATGGTTTCTCTTCTTCTCAATCTTGGAATGTCTTAAGGCCAAGAAAAGAGGAAACTACTTGGCATGATATTGTCTGGTACAAAGGTTCAATTCCCAAACATGCTTTCAACATGTGGGTCTCTCATCTCAACAAGCTGCCCAAAAAGAAGCGATTGTTCTCCTGAGGTTTTATTCCTTCTCCGAATTGCAGCTTTTGTGCTGCCGACATTGAGTCAAGGGACCATCTGTTCCTAAACTGCGCCTTCTCTCAAGCTATCTGGCGGCGTATGGTTTTCTTAAGACTCGACCCTAACAGGTCGTTGCTCCTTTCGTGGTCTGAACTTGAGTCTTGGGTAAGAGTCTCTTCGCAAGCTGCCCCGGCACTTCTCCGGAAACTCACTGTCCAAGCAACCATATACCAAGCAACGTAATAATCTCGTCCATAATCAACAAGCTATCCCATCTCTGCTAGACGCCACAGGAAACCGTTCTTCAACTTGATGCAGTGCTGGTTTTCATGATCTCACTTTTTGTGATTTCCCCAAATTTGTCCCCTTGTTTTTACTCAAAAATCTCTGGCTCTACTCTTGTAACAGTCAAACCTTTCATTTATATGATATTAACAGGCTTAGCAAAAAAAAAACCATGGCTAGAGATTGGCATCCCAAGATAATGGGGCTTCTGGTCAAAGGACGTAGACTATGAGCACTTTGACCTCAGAGAATGCAACATCAATCCTTAGAATTAGAGTCTGTTATGAGAGCAATGTCATATGTCTCAAATCTGTATCAGATGATCAGTACATGAAATTGTATATGACACGGTAAAAGGAGATTCGTTCCAATAGGCACGACCGATGTTATTGTTGCAACATACGTATATATCAAAGGAATTAAAATTTAAAACGAAAGAGTGATTATTTGTCGCGGTTTATGTAAAGTAGTGACACAGTTGATATAGGAGACTTTAATCAAATTCGCCAAAGAGCATTGCAACATATCCAGCCCAAAGTCAAGCCCAAAATCAAGCCCAACACGATACCCATTTCAGCATCTAACAACAAATACTCACTCCATAAAACACTTGTGAAAACAAGCCGAAGCCCTAGCTGCCGTCGCCGTCTCCGTCTCCTCTCTCTCTTTCTTTGCTTAAGGTAATCCGTCTCTCAGATTTCCAGTAGTGTTCCGATTTTCTCTGCTAATCTCCCGTTGATTTCTTTACTAGGTTCTCTTTTCTTTTTTTTTTTGCTTTAGATTCTTCCATCTTTTTAGTGTTATTCTTATGACTTTCCCTCTTTTGCAGATTCCTAATCTAGCCTTCCTCTTTTGATTTATCATACCCTCATTATTCTCTCTTCTCCATGGGTTCAAAAAGAAAAAGGAACTTCTCGTCCGAGGTATTTTAATACCCTATTTTCTAAGCTTTTGCTTAAGCTTTTTGTTTTTAACTCTTTTTCTTCTTCTTATCATTGCAGAAGCAGATAAAGGATCAAATGAAGCAATTTCTCGAGCAGATTGGTGAAAAAAATTACCGAGATTAACAAAGACTTGCTGACTGTTGCAGATGTTGAGTACAAGAAGGTACAAGAATGACGTTTTGTTTTGTTTTGTTCTGTTAAATACTTGCTATGTTTTGATTTTTTGTTCTGTTTAGTCAGAGTTGGGTGTTCGTGAGCTTGTCTTATCTTGGAGATCCAAGAAGCCGGCTTTCATTAGTCCTCCTTCCTTTCAAAAACAAGGTTCGCTATCCTTCAAAATAAGCATGCTATATAGATCTATAGTTTTTTAATGAAATAACTTAAATTGTTTATTGTTTGAAAATTTTTCAGATGATTGCTGGGCACATGCGTTTGCTAATGGCCTCTCTGCTGTGATGATCCAACTTGGAATCACAGGGAACCTTCCTACTGCACAGAAGCTGGTTAATCAAATCGACAAGAAGCTTCTAACAGATTCTATGAGTATCGTCAAGTGTAGTTATGCTGCCCCTTCATTGCTTCAAAATTATGGCTTTCGTTTAATTGTGCATCGTCGTCCCAAACTGCATTTGATCAAGGAGAATGAAGATTTCGAGAAGTTTCTAGAGCGTCGGGTAGCTATAAATCAAGTCGAGGTGTGTGGAAGATTCCACTTCTCTTCGTCTGGAGGGAAAGAGAAGTGAATGATTTCTCCAAAATTAGAGAAATCATCACGCACTTGTTCCGATCTGCCAGCTCGAGATAGCTTCTTAGAGAAACCACTAATACAGAATGATTTATACCTCGAGTCTACACACCGGGTAAGACAAACATCACGGTTCCTCAACTTAGCATCTTTAAATTCCACTAAACCCGGTTGAGGAACCGTGATGTTTGTCTTACCCGGTGTGTAGACTCGAGGTATAAATCATTCTCTATTAGTGGTTTCTCTAAGAAGCTATCTCGAGCTGGCAGATCGGAACAAGTGCGTGATGATTTTCTCTAATTTTGGAGAAATCATTCACTTCTCTTTCCCTCCAGACGAAGAAAAATTTGGATATCTCTTCATAGCTTTGAATCCTGGGGTTACGGCAGATAAGGTGTGTAGCAAAACCCTTCAAGTCAGCGAATGCCTAATTAAAGGAAAGATCACTAAAAGTCTATTATCTGAGTGGAAGAGAGTTTAAATGTGACTACTATTTGTGATATCTGAGTGGAAGAGAGTTTAAATGTCCTACTGTAATAGGACAAGAAATCGTTTAACATCACTGCAATTTGGTTATCTTATTAATGTAAATTTCCTGATCAAGATTTAGGATTTTTTCCTTTCGGTTATCTTTTTTGAATAACATAATGTTTCCTTATAATGTTTCCTTGTATCATTTCTTGCATCATTGAAGATAAAAACGACGAGTAAGCTACGATTACATCAATTTGACTTTGGTCATGTAGATTGTGTTTCTCTTCTCTCCAAAGATACATATAATTAGGCATGTCAATTGTGCTAGCCTCGCCCGCAAAACCCGCATATGTTGGAGTCCGGTCCGGTCCAACCCGTAAAAATTCCAAGTCTATATTTTCAAGTCCAGTCCGACCCTAGTAGGACTAGATAGCTTCTCTTTCGAGAAAAAAAAACAACTTATAATATGTAATATCTCGAAAAAGAAATATATATATGAAACGAGTTAATCGAAATTTAAATAAACGCTAAAGCCAATTTAGTTTAGAAGAAAAAGTTTAAAATCAAATATAATCCAAATAAATTGGCTAAAATCACACCAAATAGTAAATATAATCAGAAGACTTCAAACTATGTAGTAGAGCCAATATTTGATTTTTAGATTTATAGTAAGTCACAATAAAAAAAAACTTGATTTATGGTTTTTAACTCTATTAAAAAAAAATCCTTAAACAAATATTTCAATCAAAGAAAATACTAACAAAGGAAAATCAAAATATATTTTTAAGGGCTTTTCGGGCCAGTCCGTCCGACTGGGCTAAGCCCAAAACCGTCTAGCCCAAACGGGTTTAGCTCGAAAGGCTCAATTTT